TTTCAGTTCACATCTTAGCCATCCTTTATCTGAATCCTTTGGAATCTACTCTCCCAAAATCTATGCATGTGTCAGACCTGCCTGGTTTTGGGGGGCTTTTTTGGTTGGTTGTTTTGTTTTTGCTTTTTTTTGGTAAGGCAATCGGGGTCAAGTGACTTGCCCAGGGTCACACAGCTAGTAAGTGTAATGTGTCTGAGGCTAGATTTGAACTGAAGTCCTCCTGACTCCAAGGCTGGAGCTCTATCCACTGCGTCACCTAGCTGCCCCCCTCCCCCGCTCACGCGCACACACACCCCACCCTCCCCCCAGCCTGGTTTTCTGAGTGCTCCTAGAATGGCGGCATCATTTCTCCTTCAGCACCCAGTTTCCCCTGCTAGTGTAAATCAAATCCAGAACAGAAGTTCTCCTTTGCAATGCTTCTACCATTTAAAGAATGAAATTATTTATCATTAAATTAAACCAAAAAAGTATTAGCTACTCTCCATTTAGCAGTAGCATATGAATACATAACTGAAATCCCCCATCACTACTATACTGAGCCTTAATGTCAGGACATATTCCTTCTTCCCTCTTTCTGGGTAGGTGGCCTATGTTCTACTCTAATGACAATAATGCTGTTTTTGCCTCTCTAGAACGCAATGAAACCTTGCCTGATTCCTGGATCTTTTCACATAACACTATATTCTTTTTTTTTCTTTTTTTTAATTTTCAGGCAATTGGGGTTAAGTGACTTGTCCAGGGTCACACAGCTGGTAAGTGTCAAGTGTTTGGTCTGAGACCAGATTTGAATTCAGGTCCTCCTGACTTCAGGACTACACCACCTAGCTGCCCCAACACTGTATTCTTAATGCACAATACCATTACATCTCTAGTCAACCTCCTTTTCCAATTTTTCTTACTTATGAAAAAAAGATACTCCCTTCCAGAACCAGTCACTGGTCCTAGTCTTAGTGATACTTATAAGGCAATTCTGTCCTTTTACTTTGGGATCTCTAGTTCATCTTGTTTGTTACTCATTTTCTGTACATTCATATAAAGAAAAATAGCTGAGGGGGCAGTTAGGTGATGCAGTAGAGTACTGGCCCTGGAGTCAGAAGGACCTGAGTTCAAATCTGCCTTCAGACACATAACATTCACTAGCTGTGTGACTCTGGGCAAGTCACTTAACCCCAACTGCCTCACCAAAAAAAAAAAAAGATAGCTGTGGCCAAAGGTTGGACCAAGTACTTCTCTAAGACTTTTATCTCCTGGGTATCTCTACTGCTATTCTTATTCCTTCATTGTAGCTACTCCTAAGGCATCTAATTGGGTTTATAAATGCAAGGAATATGAATGTATAAGTAGAGCCTATATCAGATTACACGCTGTCTTGAGGAGGGAGTAGGTGAGGGAGGGGGAGAAAATTTAAAACTCAAAATCTTATGGAAGTGAATATTGAAAATTATAAATAAATTATTATAAATGCAAGAAATTTTCTCTTTTCCCCTTCTTTTTCTGTGTAGAGGCCTTCAAATTAGATCTGCAAGATCCTAAGACAGAATTTTTTTTTATCAGCTGATCTTTACATGCACTCCCATCTCTGGCTAAGAGTCTATTATTCCTATATTTTAAGCCATGGTTCATTATCTCTTAGCAACCTACTCATTTCCAAATCTACCTCTCTCTTCTAAAACCTCGTTTTCAATGTAAAGCAGAGGTGAAAAGAACATCTATGTTCCTGAAGTGACCAATTTCCTACTCAAGACTTCATAATCTTTCTTAAAGTTGTCCAGATTCCTGGTACTATCAATTTCGTTCTCATGAATCTCTAAATATGAATAGAAGTCATTCAGTTTGACAAGTCTTGGGAGGTTCTCTTTCACACTCTAGATAAGTTCCAGAAAGACAGCAATCCTCTTTATTATTAATGCCCAATCAACAAAGAGCTGCCTTTATAACTTTCAGCACAGAGTCAGTCACCAGCCATAACTACTCCTTTTTTTCTTACTCTGACCTTTACTGGATTCTCTCTCACTAGTAACATTCGTAGATTCATTACCTAGAAGACAAGCAGCTACCTTTTCCTCCTTTGGATAATAATAGTTACCTAGCATTTATTGGTAGAGCAATTTAAGGTTTGCAAAGCATTTTACAAATGTTATCTTATTACCTCACAGTAACCCCGGGAGATAAGAGCTTTTATTACTTCCATTTTACAGAGGAAACTGAGCCCAACAATGGTTAAGTGAATTGCCCAGAGTCACCCTGTCAGTATTTGAGATAATACTTAAAATCAGATCTTCCTGACTCCAGACATTGTACTAACTAGCCACTGTACTAACCTAGCTGCAAAGAACTCCTATCTGTTATTTAATTTCAAGTATTCAGGCTCTTTCTTCCCTTTTCCCTAGTCACAATCTTTCACTTTCCAATTTCCTGACACAGGTCAGGATTTTCCCCTGCCTCTTCAAATCCTGTTTCTTTTGTGTTATTAGATTGAAGTTCTCCATCCATTTATTAAAGGAAAACCTCATTCTTTCTGATAGCCTGAGAACAGAAAGGAGTTCTTCTAGTCCCTCTCTCCCCTAGGAAGACCAACCTGTGCTGGCAGAAACAAGCAATGCATGACCTGTGCCTGTCATTGAAAAATTCTCCCAGTTCTCTATTCTTTCTGGAAGCAAAACCCTCTGTCTTCTGTCATCCCTTCTGGTAGCTGGGGGGGGGGGGGGGGGGGCAGCTTCCCAGCAAAACTGCTAAACTGACAGCGAGCGTTATCTTTGTCCTCCTCACCTCCTTAGCCCAGAAATAGATACAACCAATTTCCTTTCCCTGGTCTTAGCAGTAACTCCCTTTTCCTCTTCACTCTTTCTCCTTGGGCACTTTTCCTTCTCCTCAAATCTCAAAATCAAACAACCCCAGAGCTAGAAGAGATGTCTGATGCCATCTTGAATCTGTTGACTGATTAAAACAATTCTAAGGTACTAATTTCCAAAACAATCCTTGGTATCTCACAACTACTTCTGTACATCTTCCATATTTTTATACCCTAAAAAATTTTATTTTCACTGACTCCAATTTAATAGGTGGCTGGTTAACCTTAATTCAGAAATTAAGAATCAAAATTACTTTAGTATTTCAAGTCACTTTAACAAAAGCACATTAGAAGATAAAATAAATACCCATTTTGTTTTCCTTTTAAGATTGCATTTTGAAAAGTAAAATTTCTGTGAAAATGAGCATCTCTGCAATGTTATGACAGCTTTCAAAACCGTTAACTCAATTAAAATATTCTAAATAAGAGCAGGATATAAACATCATTAATACTTTGTTATAACATCTAAGTATGCACAAGAGCAACATCATTTGATGCCATTTTTAATGCCATTTACTTAAAAAGTAAAGACTGTATGTACTGGCACTGTTCTAAATTGTTCCCAAATAGGTTAGCCATAAAAGCAAAAAGAAACACGGTGTAAAAATGAATGATGCTGATAAAGGGTCTTTACTAAATACTATCCAAACAACCCATTAAAACAGCTAGTCAAAGACTGTTGAAGCCACTCAGGTACCTTTTTAAAACTGGCTTATTAAGAAAATGAAGAATTTTCAAACAATGCCATAGCATCCAAGGCTTTTTCCAGCTTTAAAATTCTATAATTCAATCTTAGGGCTGTGGGTTTTGATTTTATTTTTACATTAGGTCTGGACTTAGGACTCATAAGATCTGGATTTAATATTTACTTGCTGTATTAACCCTGGCGGTGGCAATGGAGGTTAGGGATATGAGTCTCAGTTTCTAAATAAGTAAAACAAAGACGATGTACTTGCACTAACAATGCTAGTTTCCTTCCTTCTGTTCTTCCTACTACCTACTGCTATTCCTATACGGATCATTAGAATTATTTTTTAGATTTGTCACATATTTACTGTTAGAAAGTATCTTAAAGACCATCTGTGTTCAACCTCTATTTTAAGGCCCCGAAAGGTTAGGGGACTTTTCGAGGGTCACACAGGTAGGAAGTGGCAGAGCTGGGATGGAAACCCAGGTTACCTGACACCCATCCAGCTTGCTTTCCGCTGGAGCAGCTATACCTGAGACCAGCTTTAAACGATGGGAGGGTTTCTTGTTTCCATAGGGTCTTCCTACGAAGGCTCAAGAAAACCTAGCTGAGAACTAACAGTAGGATGCCACCCAGAGATCACTTCCACCCCAGGGAAAGGTAACAGAAGAATGAAGAGGATTGACAGCTCCGCCGTTACTTTGGTCCCTTGCCCAACATCGCACTGCCTCCAAGGACGATCCTACATCCTGCCCGGCCCGGTCAGGGGATGGTGAAGAACAAAACAACGGAAGACCGAGAGAGGGCAGAAAGAGCTACGCCGGGGGATGTGAAGGAGACGGGAGAGGTCAAGTAGTCGTTGCCCGGTCTCTTGGGCCTCAGTTTCCTCCTCGGTTAAGATAAAGGGAAGGCTGGCCTGGCTAGTCTTCGGTGTCTCTCGCCCTGCGCTGCCCCGGGTGCTGACAACAACGGTCAAGGCGACGAGGGCTCCGTCTGCACGCCGGGGGCCTAGGCTTCGCTTCCCCGGGCCCAACCCCTCGGCCGGTATCTACATCTTACCCCCACCCGCCACAAAGAGGAGCCGACGGACTCACGTCCGGCGCCGAGGGAAGAGCAGGGAAAGCCCCAAGGCGGCCCTGCGCTGCCTCTCCCACCTGAGCTCCAGCCCGAGCTTTGGAACCGCCTCGGCCCTCAGCGCCTCCGTCCGACGCTCAGTCCGGCCCTCCGTCAGTCCGTCAGTCCGTCCGTCCGGCGGCGGCGGCGGCGGCGGCGGCCCGGAAGCCCCGGTGGCCTCTAGGTCCGACGACCGGAAGCGGCCCCCGCGCGCCCACGCGCCGCGCCTCTAGGGGCCCGGGCCGAGCCCGCGCCGGCGGAGATGGGGGGGGGCAGGAAGCCGTCCGCCAAGGCCCCGCTCTCCCCCGCCCAACTAGGCTCCCTCCGCGATTCCTGGGACCGACTTACCTCGGCTCCCGGTAGGGAAGAAGGTGCCGACAGCGGCGGCGGCCTTTCAGCGCTCTGAGGAGAGGCGAAAGGCGGCGCGGCCACGGCGAGCCGGCGGGGACAGGCGCCGCCGGGACTTTGGCCTTCGCGTCGTCCCCCGCTCGCCTCAGGGCCCAGCCTGAGCCCCACTCGCGAGGGCGCGTCAATTCGAGGCTCTAGGGGGCGCGACGCGGGAGGGGGGAGGGGGAGACGGAGACGGAGGGCCATAGAGAAGGGAAGGGAGGGATAGAGAGGAGAAGACGAGCGAGAGGAGACGGGAGAGAGAGAGAGGCTGGCGGGAAGGAAGACTCCCTGAGGAGCACGGATCGAGGGAGGGGGAGGAGGACCACTAACAATGCCCACTCCAGGAGGAAGCCTTTGTAAGCAGCCTTGATGGGGGAAGGAAAAGCAATCAACCCAGGAAGATCAGCAAGCATTTAGTAAACTAGAGTCTAGAGAAACAAAGACAATAAACAGGCCCTGCCCTCTAGGAGCTTACATTCTAGAGTCAAGACAAAATGAATCCACAAGAGTTCTGGAAGCTCTGCTTCCTCCGCTCAAATCCAGCCTCCATTCTCAGCTGTCAAACCGATTTGACAGATCTGACCCTGTCACTTCCCTGACTCAGCAACTCCCATGGCTCCCTATTACCCCCAGGATCACGTATAAAATCCCTATTTGGCTTTTAAAGCCCCATATAACTTGGCTCCTGCCTACATTTGCAGTCGTCTTACACCGTGTGCTCTGGGATCCAATGAACCTGGCCTCCTTTCTGTCCCTCACCCAATCAATAAACATAATTTATTAAGTACCCATTAAGTGTCAGGTGCCTGTGCTAAGCGTTGAGAATACTAAAAGAGGCAAAAGATAGACCCTGCTGCCCTCAAGGAGCTCACTGGCACTTAGCAGAGTGGCTGACACATAGTGGACACATGTTTATTGGATGAGTGAATTAACCTAAGAGGGGAGACAGCATGCAAACAAATATATAAAAAGCAAGCATTGTACAGGATGAATTGAACATCACTAACAGAGGAAAAGCACCGGATTAGGGAAGGTTTCCTGTAGAAGGTGGGATTTTAGTTGGGATTTAAAGGAAGCCAGGGAGATCAGTAGTCGCTGCAGAGGATGGAGAGCATTCCAGGCACGGGGGACATCTGGAGAGAAGGCCCAGAGCTGAGGGATGAGGGTCTTGTTTGTGGAACAGCCAGGAGACCGGTGTCACTGGACAGAAAAGAACGTGTCAGGGAGTAAGATGTAAGAAGGTAAGAAAGGTAGGAGGCGGGGCAGGTTATGAAGTGCTTTGAATGCCAAACAGACCATTTGGTACGAGGAGGTAGTCGGGTCTCCAGACTCTGGGCATTTTCACGGTGTTCCCCCATACCTGGAATACTACCCTCCCTCCTCTTCCCCACCTCCGCTTTCTTAGCTTCCTTCAAATTCCAGGAAAACCCCACCTTCTACAAGAAACCTTTGTCTTCCATCTGCTGATTATCCCCAATCTATCCCATCTGTGTCTTGAGGCTGAATTTGAACTCAGGTCCTCCTGATTCCAGGGCACGGTGCTCTATCCACTGCGCCAACTTAACTGCTAAATGCTTATTGACTACTGATATACTCCAAATTTATCCTGTTATGTGTGGACACACACACATACACCTATACATATACATATATATAATTTGAACATACTCATTTTCATGTTGTCTCCCCATTAGATTCTGAGCCCTACAAGTGCAGGTACCTTGTTTTCAGCTTGCTTTGTAGCACAATGCCTGACACATGGTAGGCACTAAATAAATATTTGTTGACTTTCTGTGCTAAGCACTGGGAATGCAAGGCAAAACCAAGCAAATAACTGTATATTTAGAGCAAATATAGGGAGCAACTAGGTGGCCCAGTGGATAGAGCAGTGGCCCTGGAATCAGGAGGACCTGAGTTCAAATCCCACCTCGGACACATAATACTCACTAGCTGTGTGACTCTGGGGAAGTCACTTAACTCCAGGTGCCTCACCAAAAAAGAAAAGAAAAGACAAGGAGAAATGTAGAACAAATATAAGGTAAATGCAAAGTACCTAAAAGCTTCTGTAAAAAGTAGTGTTAGAATTGCACCTTGAAGAAAGAGTGGAGGCTGGATTGGAGGGAAGGAGAGACTCAAGCAGAGCTTCCAGCTTTCTCCATTAGAATATAAGGTCCTATTTTAGAAAAATCTGGAAAGACTTGTATGGTACAATGAGCGGAACCAGGAGAATGTTATACACAGTAACAGCCACGTTGTGCGATGACTAATATTGATAGACTTAACCCTTCTCAGCAATACAAGGATCTAAGACATCTCCAAAGGCCTCATGATGGAAAATGCTATCCACATCCAAAGAAAGAACTATGGAATTTGAATGCAGATCAAAGCAGACTATTTGCTATTTTCTTTTCTTCTGATGAATTTTGTTTCCTCTTTCTAATGGTTCCTCCTATTAGTTTAATTCTTACTTAAAACATCACTAATGTGAAAATATGTTTAATAGGAACGTATATGTATGGCCTATAACAGATTGCGTGCCGTCTTGGGGAGGAAGGTGGAGAGGCAGGGGGAGAAAAATTTAAAAGTCAAAAGTTTATGAAAGTGATTGTTGATAATTCAAAATAAATTAATTAAAATTTAAAAAAAAAAGAATATAAGGTCCCAGAGCACAGGGACTGTCTTTTCAATTGCATTTATATTCTTAGCACTTAGCAAGGTATCTGGATCATAAGTGCTTGGATAGATATCTATCCATCTATCTTGAAGATTCCAGAAGGTGAAGAAAGTGAGAAGGAAGCACATTCTAAACACAGAGTAGAACCAGGACCAAGGGGTGAAGATGAGAGATGTCTGCCCTATGTGAGGACCAGAGGGAAGTTGGCCACAAAACACAGGAAGGGGAGCTGAGGACATTGGAAGGCTAGGCTGCAACAGTAGGGGAAAGCTTACTTTGTATGTAGGTTGTATCTACTTAGCATTGTAAAGTATTTCGTTCCCCTGTGTTGAATGGAAGCTATTTGAGAACAGGAAATACTTCACTTGGCAACTATGTACCTAGCACATGGTGTTCAGTCCTTTTCAGTTCTGTCCAATTCTCTGTGACCCTATTTGGAGTTTTCCTGCCAAAGGTACTAGAGTGGTTTGCCATTTCCTTCTCCAGCTCATTTTACAGATGAAGAAACTGAGGCAAATGGGGTTGTGACTTACCCAGGGTAATACAGCTAGTAAGTATCTGAGACCAGATTTGAACTCAGGAAGATGAGTCTGCCTGGCTCCAGGCCCCTCTATCCATTTCACCACCGAGCTGCCCTAACCTAGCACATAATTATGTATTTAATAGATGATTGTTGATTGGTTCCTTCTTCAAATATTAGTGAAAAGGGTTTTATGGAGAAAGATGTTAGCAAGAAAGGACAATATATTTTGGGGAGGATTCTAGAAAGAAAAAAATGTATTATAGGGAGGATAGGAAGTTGTTAAAGAAGGACAGAAAGGAAGGAGGATGTATTTTAGGGAGGATTATGGGAAGAGAATAATATATAAAGATAGTAGACTGGGGAGGAAAGGAAGCATGGGGAAGAAAAGAGAGCAAGATGAGAAAAAAGGAAATGGGGCATTAGAAGGAAGAAGGGAAGAAAAGAGAATGGGGGGCAAATTATTGTTTTAATTATCTTTTTATCCCTGTAAACATTCTATGCTTTTCTGATTCTGTTGTTATATTGGATTTATTTTGGTATGGTTTTTATCCCATTTTTTTGTTCATTGAAACTGGATTTACAATTTAAACATGAATCATAAATACATATATATATGTGTGTATATTTACAGACATATAAAGTATTTCAGATTTGCTGAGGAACCTGAGGTCTTCACTACTGCTCTGGGGACAGGTGAATAAATATTCAATTCAATTCAAAGAGCATTTTGTGAGAGCCTACTATGTGTCAAGCATTGTAATAAACATGAAGGATGCAAAGTCAAAAATAAATCAGTGCCAGCTCTTGAGAAGCTCACATACATACATACATATATACATACATACATACATACGTAAGAAAATAGCAAATATTTACAAAATTATTTGGAGTTAGGATGGAGGGAATCGCTAATAACTTGGATGGCCAGGAAAGGTGTCTTAAAGAGATTAGGATTTGAGCAGAACCTTTCATGGAACCAGGTTGTCCCGAGAGGTGAAGTGAGGTGAGGAGAGAAAGGATTCCAGGTACAGAGAACAACCTCTGCAAAGGCTGGGATCTGGAGAGAGAGAGGCACATGGAGGGGCGATGATAAGCCAGGTGGGCCAGAACAAGAGTGAAGAGGAGGAGTGAGATAAGTCTAGAAAGATCCATTGGAGCTAGAGGCCTGTGCTGGAAGCACCTCCTGCTGGCTCACTGGGGCCAACTGCTAAATTGTCATTGGGAACACTGATACCTCAGAAGTCAACAATTTATTGTTAAATAAATAATAATTTATTGCCCAATTTATTGTTTGTCTAAATTGGTTGTCTAAATCTAAGAAAATCATGGTGAAAATGTCAATGAAACGAAAAAGAGTGTCCTGTAGACAGCTCCCCATCCCCACCCCGAGCTGGTTGTTAAACATTTATCCTGGTATATCATTAGTTGTGGAGCCAAGTTATAAAAGACTTTGAACACCAAACAGAGGAGTTTGCATTTTAGCTTCCAGGCAATAGAGCTACTCCTTCATCTCTAGCAGGTGAGGGACATGCTTGGACCTGTGCTTTAGGAATATCCATTTTTTTTTCTTTTTTCAGAGGGGAGGGAAGGAGAGGCAATGGAGTCAAGTGACTTGCCCAGGGTCACACAGCTAATACATGTCAGAAGCAGGGTTTGAACTCAGGTCCTCCTGTCTCCAGAGCTAGTACTCTCCACTGTACCACCTAGCTGCCCAGGAATATCAGTTTTGCAGCAGGGTGGAAGTTGGATCCAGGCAAGAAAACCAATTAGCAGACTATTGCAACAGTCCAGGCAAAGGCAATAATACTTCATGCCTTCAACAGGAGAACTTAACTTAAGGAAAAGGTGGAACTTCAAAAAGAAGCTAAGTTCTGTCCCATCTCCGCTTCATGTAAAGTGACCGAATTTTAGAGCTGAAAGGGCCATCCAGTCCAACCACTAACTATGGCAAAAAGGATCTTTTCTACAA